TGCTGATGCTGATGATGCTGATGATGATGATGATGATGCTGATGATGATGATGATGATGATGAGGAGGAGGAGGAGGAGGAGGAGGGAACGGAGGAAGAGGAGGAAGGGAGGAGAGGGAGGAGGAGGAGGAGGATGAACAGCAGAAGTCGGAGGAGGAAACGGAGGAGGAGGGGGAGGAGGAGGAGGAGGAGGAGGAGGAGGAGGAGGAGAGGGATGAGGTGAAGAGGAGGAAGAGGAGGTGATGTTTTTTTGAGGGGGGGGGGGCGGAGTTTTGGCCCCGCACCGCGTGCAGATGAGAAGCGTGAGACAGGGAAGCAACCAAGTGCCACGTCCAGGTGCCTTCAGCCCGGGCTTGGAAGCGCCCCCGACCATTCGCCCCTCCAAGCGGAGGGCGAAGAGCGAAAGTCGCACGCGACAGGAGGAAGATGAAGAATACCTTGGGAACACCCTGAGAAGCACCAGTCGTGCTGAGTCCAGGCCTCGTTTGGCCTGCTGCTGCTCTTGCTCACCCTGCTCGCTCCCACAAAGCCCCTCAGGCCTGTTGGCAGCGGCGGCGGCGTCAGCACAGGATCGGGCCCTGCACTCTTTCCCTCCAGGCGAGAACCTCTCGCACTGCCTTGGGCATAGTTTTGGGGTGGGGTTTACACATAACCGGCTCAAAGTCTGCTCGCCCTTTGCAGTCTTAGGACGACATCCGAGGGCCAGTGACGCTGCCATTAGACTAGCACAGCAGCCGCAGGTGGTGCACGATCACAGGCTTATGCAATTCGCAACCATGAGAGCGTGCGACGGGTTGAGCATCTTCCCCCCCCCCACCGTAACCCACAATCCGTCCCACTATTACCAGTACCTGCGGTTCCGATAGCTGCAAACTGCTTCGGAACGCACGGTGAGCAGGCAAACCAGCAAGATTATCAGGCAGGGCAGACTGCTCACATACCATGCGACTCCATCGGGTCCCAACGAGTTATAAGTGGTGGGGGGAGGCCGCACTGCGCCTTGCTTGCTTGTTCGCTTGCTTCCCTTTCGGCTCCACCCCCGACACGAGCTTCCATGCAATCAAGATGTGCATGCACCGCACGCTTCCGAGCCACAATATGTGCTTCAAGGTGGCGCTCCCTGACACCCTAGCAGCGGCACGGCTGGCAAACTCGTCAGCACAATTATTACTTGGCAGAAGGAATAGTTGTTAATCAGTGTCCTATTATGTTAGCTGGTCCTCATGATGGCTATGCAAGAGACGCAATTCGATATTATCACCACCTCGATCGCGCAACATGCGTTTGAACATCCACCACGAGTAAGCGTTCTGGCCCGATGGGTGCAACTGGCACCGCTCACGCCAGCCACGCACCATCGGCATGTGGTCAGTGTTATACCTCAGGCCCCCTCGGGTGCGACGCAGCGAGATGATGAATGCCTGGAGCTCCACGCGCTGGACGGTCTACTTGGGTCCTGAGAGCCTCGCCGCGATGCTTGCCGCTACGCGTAGCTCTCCAGGCGCCTCCAGCGAGCCCTGCATGATCACCACGCCGAGCCCGCCCTGCCTGAGGCGCGGGTTGTCGCTGTGCACACCTCCCCGAGCCGCCGCCGAAGAGGTCCAGGTAGCCGTCCTGGCCGCGGTGCTGCTCCGCCGCCTCGTTCCAGCCGCCCGTCTCCATCTCGAACTCGTTGGCGCCTTATGGGTACGTGTCCCTTGTCCACCGAGCTGGAGGGACACCGCTCAACCTCAGACAGGGGCGGCCCCGCGCGTGCGAACTACAAGTGTTCGAAACCTGTTACAGGAGATCTTAGCACGCCTCTGGCCCGTTGGGCCGGCGATTTTTTTGCCCCCGCGAGCTTGCCACACCATAGCGAGTAGAGTGTTGTGGCATTCGGGTCGCCCCTCGGGCGTTGCCACGTCATGAGTAGAGTGGATTAGTATTTGTTCCTTCCCCGCGGGCGTTGCCACGTTGCGAGTAGAGTGGAACAGTATGTTTTTCACCTCCCCAGGAGTTGCACCGTGGCTAGTAGTGTGTTCTAGCTTTTTGCTGCCCCGCAGCCGTTGCCATGTGGCGAATGGAGTGGACTAGTGTTTGGTTTGCTGCCACGTGGTGAGTAGAGTGGAATCGTATTTCTGTTCGTCCCACAGGCGTTGCCACGTGTCGAGTCAAGGCGGGACAGTATCTTCTTCTGCCTCCAGGCGATGCCGCGTGGCGAGTATAATGGAATAGCATTATTCTCCCGCCCCGCAGGCGCTGCCACGTGGCGTGTAAAATAGAGTAGTAGGTGTTTCCCTCCTGAGCGTTACCACGTGGTGAGGAGGGTGGAGCAGTATTTGTTTCGTTCCCCCGGCGTTGCCTCGTGGCGAGTAGAATGAAATATTGTTTTTCACGCTCCTCAGGCGTTGACACGTGGTGAGTGGAGTGGAGTAGTTTTTGTGTCGCTCCCCAGTTGCTGCCGTGTAGCAATTGTAATGGAATGGTCTTGTTTTCCGCCCCGCAGGCGTTGCCACGTCTTGAGAAGAGTGGAGTATAATATTTGTGTTGCCCCCCAGCCGTTCTCACGAGATCGACTTGCCGTTCCATCGAAAACGCCCCCGTTCCCGCCAAAGCGTCTCCTGGTTTCGCCTGGAGGAGGTTTGGGTTTCCTGGAGGGATTCTGGGTTTCGCTTGTACAGATTCAAGGTTTAGCCTTTTCCTGGAAGTTCAGGTTTCGCCCAACCGGGTTCCCCGGAGGGATGCTTGGGTTCGCCTGTGCGATTCCAGGTTTTGCTTTTACCGATTTCCGAGCTTCGCCGGAAAGAATCCGGTGTTCGCCGCTCGACCCCTCACCGAAGGTTCCAGTGACACAGTCCGCATGGCGTACCGCACCCGATTCAACACCCTCCCACCGATTCGTGGCCCCATAGGGCCATAGATAGGGAGCCCCACCGAAGGCCCCAGCGGCACGGTCCGCATGGCGTACTCGCACCCGACTCGGCGCACAAGCAAACAACACACACACACACGCACGCTCACACACACACACGCACACACGCACACACGCACACACGCACACGCACACGCACACACGCACACGCACACACGCACACACGCACACGCACACACGCACACACGCACACACGCACACATACACACGCACACAGACACACACACACACACACACACACACACACACGCGCATATACACGCACACGCACACGCACGACGCACGACGCACGACGCACACGCACACACACACACACGTTCACACACTTTCACACACATTCACAGACACATTCACACGCGCACATTCACACACATTTAGCACACACACGCACACGCCCGCCCACTCACCCACCCAAGCAGCCACCCATTCGCCCACTTACCCACCCACCCACCCACGCACGCACGCACGCACCCACCCACACTCACACCACACACAAGCACGCACGCACGCACACATACAAATTCACACACAGCACACACATTCACACACCCACACACATTCACACACACACAGACACATTCACACACAAACACATTCACACGCAGACATTCACACGCATTCACACGCGTTCACACACACACACACACGCACACGCACGCACGCACGCACTCACGCACGGACATACACACACACACACACACACACGCACACACGCACACATGCACGCACGCACGCACCCACGCACGCGCGCGCACGCGCACGCGCACGCGCACGACGCACGACGCACGACGCACGACGCACGACGCACGACGCACGACGCACACACACACACACGCACACGCACACGCACACACGCACACACGCACACACGCACACACGCACACACGCACACGCACACGCACGACGCGCACGCGCACGCGCACGCGCACGCGCACGCACGCACGCGCACACGCACACGCACGCGCACACGCACGCACACGCACACGCACGCACACGCACGCACACGCACACGCACACGCACACGCCCACGCCCACGCACACGCACACGCACGCGCCCACGCCCACGCCCACACCCCCCACCGACGCTCCCACGCACGCGCACGCGCACGTGCACGCGCACACGCACACGCACGCGCACGCGCACGCGCACGCGCACGCGCACGCGCACGCACGCGAACACGCACACGCACACGCACACGCACACGCACACGCATCCGCACACGCACACGCACACACACACACACTCACACGAACACGCACACGCACACGCACACGCACACACGCACACACACACACACACACACGCACACACGCACACACAAACACACAGCCACGCAACACACACAGACACACTGACACACAGACATGCAGACTCACAGACACACAGACACAGACACGCAGACACACAGACACACAGACACACACACACACACACACATCACACCTCGCACTTCACACCTCACACGTTTCGTGCATGGCGTAGCCGAGTCCGATTTGGCACACCCCTCGCAGGCTTTGTGGCCCCAAAGGGAGCTCTACCGACGGCCCAGCGACACAGTCCGCATGGCGTACCCGCACCCGGTTCGGCTCACCACTCACACATTCTTTGGCCCCATAGAGAGCTCCACCGAAGGCCCCACTGGCACAGTCCGCATGGCGTACCCGCGCCTGACTCGACACACCCATCACACATTTCGCGACCCCATAAGGGGGCTCCACCGAGAATTATTCTCACAACTGAAGTACTTACATCTGCGTATGGTTGGGTCCTTCGCCCCGATTGTTTTTCAGACGAGTGTGCGCGGTGACACTGCGAGAGCTCAATTTTGAAAACGACCTGCCATCCATCCGTGTAGCTGCTGGAAGTGTTTAAGACGAGTGCGCCCGCGCCAAGGCGAGTGCCCCATTTGGAAGACGACCCGCCTTCTATCGTGTGATGGCTTGAAGTTTCAAGTTTCAAGATCGTAATGGGCGACCAGAATCGCAGGCGAAACGCCAGGCCCGCCCTAAAGACACGTCTGGTGGTGCGGATGGAGGAGGAGGATCCCGAAGGAAGGGGGTGCCCAGCGGTGGCCGTGCCGGTGGGGAGGTCAAGAACATTTGCAACGCCGTCGCCCTTGTTCTGACCTACGCGTACACTGTGGTCGCTAGTAAGGCCCTTTCGCAGCCGCCGAGCGTCGCCGCCGTAGTTGTCGTCGCCGTCGTCGCTTTCGTCGTCGCTACTGCGGAGGTCGCCGTCGTCGTCGCTGTCGTCGTCGACTTCGCCGTCGTCATTGCCGCCGCCGCCGTCGTCGTTGTCGTCGCCGTCGTCGTCGTCGTCCAATGTCTTCGGGTCCCCCGCGCCGATATCGCCGACAAGATGCAATCAGCACCCCGAGGAGGAGAGGAGGATGGGACGCACGACGGTTTGACCAGAGGTTCGCCAGTCGAATCGGAATAGTCAGCATGGGCACGGGGGAGGAGGAGTTTTCGGTCTCAGCATCACTCAACGCCCTTAGTGAGAGAAAGAGACGCTTGACCCCTTCTGTAAGTTTCAGCGTGGAAGCGATCACGCTCGGAGTGCACCCCTACCCTCCTCGCCTGTGTCAGGTGTGTGCGGCACCTGGACACTCTCGCAGTACCTTAGGGGACACAGGATAGACAGGTTTTACCTCATTCGCTTTTACCTTTTTTCTTCCTGTTCCAGTGTGTGCGCAGCGCCACCCCTCTTGCCGTAAGTTTGTTCTGGTGTTTTTATGCTGTCAGTGTGCGCGGCATGTTAACTCGCGGTAGCCCAGCGAAGGGGGCCCAGCCACTCATTTGCTCACATGTGAAATACCTGTGCGAAGAAAGCAATCCGGAACCCTTGCTCTATGCAGTGCTTTTTTCCCAACCATCGTGTGGTGTTGGGTCTTCGTTTTGAAGAGACGGTGCCCCGCGTTCTCCTCTCCTCCTCCTCCCCTCCTCCCTCCTCTCGTCACCATCATCATCATCATCATCATCATCATCATCATAATCATCATCATCATCATCATCATCATAATCATAATCATCATCATCATCGTCATCGTCATCATCATCATCATCATCATCATCATCATCATCATCATCATCATCATCATCATCATCATCATCATCATCATCATCATCATCATCATCACTCGTTTAAGCACACCCCTCACACGTTTCGTGGCCCATAGGGAGCTCCACCGAAGTTCCCGGTGCTACCGTGCGCATGCGTCCCGCACACCCAGTACAGCGTTTCGTGGCCCTCCTCCCCCTCCTCCCTGCGTTTCACCCACCCAGTACAACGCTTCGTGGCCCCATTGGGAGCCCCACCGAAGGTCCCAGTGCTACCGTCCGCATGCGTCCCGCACACCCAGTACAGCGTTTCGTGGCCCCATAGGGAGCCCCACCGAAGGTCCCAGTGCTACTGTCCGCATTGGCCCTCCTCCCCCTCCTCCCTACGTTTCACCCACCCAGTGCAGCGTTTCGTGGTCCCATAGGGAGCCCCACCGAAGGTCCCAGTGCTACCGTCCGCATGCGTCCCGCACGCCCAGTACAGCAATTCGTGGCCCCATAGGGAGCCCCACCGAAGGTCCCAGCGCTACCGTCCGCATGCGTCCCGCACGCCCAGTACAGCGTTTCGTGGCTCCATAGGGAGCTCGACCGAAGGCCCCAGTGCTACCGTCCGCATGCGTCCTGGAAGCCCAATTTGGTATTTTCACCCACCCAGTGCAGCGTTTCGTGGCCCCATAGGGGGCTCCACCCAAGGCCTCAGTGCCACCGTCCGCATGCGTCCGGGAAATGTAATTTGGCATTTTCACCCGCGCAGTGCAGCGTTTCGTGGCCCCACAGGGGTCTCCACCGAAGCCCCGAGTGGGACCGTCCGCATGCGTCCCGGAAACCTAATTTGGCATTTTCGCTCACTCAGTAGAGCGCTTCGTGGCCCCATAAGGAGCTCCACCGAAGCCCTCAGTGGGACCGTCCGCATGCGTCCCGGAAACCCAATTCGGCACACCACCCACGCAGTACAGCGTTCCCCCCCGCCCAGTGCAGCGCTTCGTGGCCCCATAGGGAGCTTCACCGAAGCAGATATTCACAATTTCGGTACCCACAACTGCATATGGTTGGGACCTTCGCCAGGATAATTTTTGTCCCCCACACCACACTTCTTGTTATAAGGTTTTCTCATGTTTCTGACTCTTACAAGCGAATGCTCAGACCATTGACAATTTTCATACTTTGGTATGTGTGTCGTGATGGCGACTGCTCCATTACGACTCCCGCACAGGAGGCTGGCTTTTCATGCCCACTCGTAGTGGGAGGGATTGGGCCTTGTGATCGGGGGATTGGTGGATTCAATCGTGGAGTTGCACTTGTACGAGTGGGCCGCGCCGCTGACGCGGCTGCCACTTCTTTCTCTTTATTTTTTTCTTGTCATCCTCCCTTGCATCAGCTGGTTCGGATTCAGACTCTGTCCTTAAGTGACCGGCCGACCGACCGAGGACGAGGCTGAGGATGATGATGATGATGATGATGGTGATTGATGGTGATGGTGATGGTGATGGTGATGGTGATGGTGATGGTGATGGTGATGGTGATGGTGATGGTAGTGGTGATGGTGATGGTGATGGTGATGGTGTTGGTGGTGGTGGTGATGCTGATGATGATGCTGAGGAGGAGGAGGAGGAGGAGGAGGAGGACCGCATGACCGACACCTCCATGAAGCTTCGGCTTCCAGTCTGGCGCATTTGTTTCCTCCATCCTGGGAAGTTTCCCCATTCACCAGGTTCGACATCCAAAACGATAAATCATACCGCATAGACCACCCTTCGGGTGATAAGGAGGTGAGGGGGGGGGAGGGACCAACGTCGCACTCGATTGATCTCACTATCGAACTCACTACCGATCTCACAATCGATCTCAATCGATAGATCTCACAATCGATCTGACTATCGATCTCACAATCAATCTCACAATCGATCCCACAATCGATCTCACATTCGGTCTCGCTATTGATCTCACAATCGATATCACAATCGATCTCGCATTCGATCTGACTATCGATCTCACTATCAAACTCACTATCGATCTCATTATCGATCTCACATTCGGTCTCACTATCGATCTCACTATCGATATCACAATCGATCTCACAATCGATCTCGCATTCGGCCTCACTATCGATCTCTCTATCGAACTCACTTTCGATCTCATTATCGATCTCACTATCGATCTCACTATCGATATCACAACCGAACTCACAATCGATCTCACATTCGGTCTCATCATCGATCTCACTATCGAAATCACTACCGATCTCATTACCGATAGTGATCTCACTACTAACTCATCGATCGATCTCACAATCGATCTGACTATCGATCTCACAATAGATTCCACAATCGATCTCACATTCGGTCTCACTATCGATCTCACTATCGATATCACAATCGATCTCACAATCGATATCCCATTCGGTCTCACAATCGATCTCACTATCGATCTCATTATCGATCTCACATTCGGTATCACAATCGATCTCACAATCGATCTCACAAGCGATCTGACATTCGATCATCGACACAATCGATATCACTACCGATCTCACTATCGATCATCAAAACAAAACATCAACATCGTCATCATCATCATCATCATCATCATCATCATCATCATCAATATCATCACCATAATCGGGACACCGACGGGGCACCGGCGGGACACCGCGGGCCCCCGGCCGCCCGGAAGGGAATCATTTCGTCCGGCCGCGCCTCAGCCACACGGGACACCAGCGGGACACCGGCGGGACACCGCGGGCCCCCGGCCGCCCGGAAGGGAATCATTTCGTCCGGCCGCGCCTCAGCCACACGGGACACCAGCGGGACACCGGCGGGACACCGCGGGGCCCCGGCCGCCCGGAAGGGAATCATTTGGTCCGGCCGCGCTTCTCAGCCACACGGGACACCAGCGGGACACCGGCGGGACACCGCGGGGCCCCGGCCGCCCGGAAGGGAATCATTTGGTCCGGCCGCGCCTCAGCCACAGGAGACTTTCTCTCGCCCGCCCACGCAGCTTCGCCTCGCCCGCACGGCACGCACGAACACGAAACCGAAATCGATTTCCCGGTAGGGGGGCTCTCCGTTCCACTTCGATCTCACCCCCTCACCTCCGATCATCTGGGTATCCTGGACACGGCCAAAGGACCTCGGGCTGATTGCGCTCACAGAAGATGCTCCCAGCGGGTGAAGTCCTGCGAATATTACAGCGGTTGTGCTCGGTGGTCGTTGGCCAGTCGCTGACTGTACTCTCGGAGTTGGGCTCTGGGCAGATGAAGAACAGCGTAGTTCCGATGGTTGCGCTCACAGTGGAAAACGCCACCGCGAACAATCAAATATACCCCCCCAGAGCGGGATTTTGGTTTCTGTTGCGCTCCTCTGCAGCCGTGCTCCCGAGCAGTGCCGTCCTGGGCTGGTCCTGCCTGTGCTCTCGCGGCGCCCGTGGCCTGTGGCAGTCGGCTACGCTCGCCTGGGGTGCGCCTGCCGAGGCCACTGGGGCGACCCACGAGGGCCTTCTCTGCTCCTTTTTTCCTTCCCTTCTTTCTATTTTCCTTCCCTGCTTCCCCCTCCTCCTCCTCCTCCTCTCCTCCTCCTCCTCCTCCTCCTCCTCCTCCCTCCTCCTCCTCCTCCTCCTCCTCCTCCCCCTCCCCCTCCTCCCCCTCCTCCCCCTCCTCCTCCTCCTCCAGAGAGAGAGAGAGAGCGAGAAGTACAAAACAAATGTGAGAGAGAGAGAGAGTGAGAGAGAGAGAGAGAACAACAAGTAATACGATCAGTACGATTTATCATCCGAATATCATTACCATGGGTTATAGTATTACTAGTGCTAACTAACATCAGTGATATTAGCACTGGTCAGAAGAATAGCATTGTTAGCCATTAAAAGGAATACTGATTCTGATAGACATACGGATCATATGACGAGGGATAGCTTTAAGACGAGCGATAAATTTCACATGAAGGAGCGACTTTTTCTCGTACTTGTTCGGGGGCTTCTGTGCCTCGGGACCTGTGGGCCTTCTGGAACCTCTGGGAGATCTCCGGATACCTCTGGACGTCGGGTACTGATTCTTGTGTCAGGGCAGAGAGCTTTGCAGTATGGAAGGAAAGTATGTGCGGTGCTGGCTTGGGTTTGGCATTGACGCACCATGCAGCAAATGATTGTTCGTTTGGGTTCGATACTCGATTGAGGAGGCTATGAGAGTGCATGCCAGTCAGATTCATGCGCCTGCCTGACTGAGGAGCAGTCCTTCTCGCTGGTGAAGGCCACTGCGAGCTCTGCTGAGCCCGGCATCTCGACTATCCAGTTTCTTGATTTCAGGACAGGATGGGGCAGGCTTTGTCAGACTCGTCGCCAAGCTCTGACTCCTTTGTGGCTACGACCCTTGCAAACACTCCCGCATGGGAAGGTTGGTTGGTTGGTGTTGGCTGGTTTGGAAGGGTGGAAGGGTTGGTGCTATGTGTCGCTGTAGGGAGCTCCACCGAAGCCCCCAGTGGGAGGGTTCGCTTGGCGCCGGCGCATCCATTTCGGCACACCCCTCGCACGTTTCGTGGCCCATATTGAGCTCCACCGAAGCCCCCAGTGGGAGGGCTCGCATGACGCTGCCGCACCCATCTAGGTACACCCAGTACAATGTACGGCCCCTCGCACATTTCGTGGTCCATAGGGAGCTCCACCGAAGCCCCCAATGGGAGGGTTCGCATGGTGCCGCCGTGCCCATTTCGGCACACCCCTCGCACATTTCGTGGCCCATGAGGGAACTCCACCGAAACCCCCAGTGGGAGGGCTCGCATGGCGCCGCCGTGCCCATTTCGGGACACCCCTCGCACGTTTCGTGGCCCATGGGAGAGCTTTACCCCAGTGGGAGGGCTCGCATGGCGCTGCCGCATCCGTTTCGGCACACCTCTCGCTCGTGTCGTGGCCTATAGGAAGCTCCACCGAAGCCCCAGTGGGAGGGTTCGCATGGCGCCGCCGCACACATTTCGGCACACGTCTCGCACGTTTCGTGGCCCATGAGGGAACTCCGCCGAAGTCCCCAGCGGGAGGGTTCACATGGCGCCGCCGTGCCCACACACCCCTCGCTCGTGTCGTGGCCCATAGGGAGCTCCACCGACGCCCCCAGTGGGAGAGCTCGCATGGCGCTGCCGCGCCCATTTCGGCACACCAGTACAATGTACGACTCCTCGCACGTTTGGTGGTCCATAGGGAGCTCCACCGCAGCTCCCAGTTAGAGGGTTCGCGTGGTGCCGCCGTGCCCATTTCGGCACACCCCTCGCACGTTTGGTGGCCGTGGCGCCGCAGCACAAATTTCGGCACACCATTCGCACGTTTCTTTGCTCAAGAGGGAGCTCCACCGAAGCCCCACTGGGCGGGACTGCATGGCGCCGCGGCACCCATTTCGGCACACCCGTCGCACGTTTCGCACGTTTCGTGGCCCCAGTGGGAGGGTTCACATGGCGCCGCCGCGCACATTTCGGCACACCCTCGCCCGTGTCGTGGCCCGTAAGGGGGCTCCAACGAAGCCCCAGTGGGAGGGGTCGCATGGCGCCGCCGCACCCATTTCGGCACACCCCTCGCACGTGCCCCAGTGGGGGGGGTCGCATGGCGTAGCCGCACCCATTTCGCCACACCCCTCACTCGTTTCGGGGCCCATAAGGGAGCTCTACCGAAGCCCTCAGTGGGAGAGTTCGCATGGCGCCGCCGTGCCCACAGACCCCTCGCTCGTGTCGTGGCCCATAGGGAGCTCCACCGAAGCCCTCAAGGTGAGGGTTTGCATGGCGCCGCCGCACCCATTTCGGCACACCCCCTCGCGCGTTTCGCGGCCCATATGGGAGCTCCACCGAATCCCCCAGTGGGAGGGTTCGCATGGTGCCACCTCACCCATGTCAGCACACCCCTCGCACGTTTCGTGGCCCAAGAGGGAGCTCCACCGAAGTGCCCAGTGGGAGGGTTCGCGTGGCGCCGCCGTGCCATCATGTCGGCACACCCTATCTCGTTTCGTGGCTCATGAGGGAGCTCCGCCGAAGTGTCCAGCGGGAGGGTTTGCATGATGCCGCCGTGCCCGTTTCGGCGCACCTCTCGCACGTTTCGTAGCCCATAAAGGAGCTCCGCCGAAGTATCCAGCGGGAGGGCGCGCATGGCGCCGCCGTGCCCATTTCGGCACACCCCTCGGACGTTTCGTGGTCCATACGGGAGCTCCACCGAAGTGTTCAGCGGTAGGGTTCGCCGCTAGGCCCACCTCAGCACACCCCTCGCACGTTTCACGGCTCGTAAGGGAGCTCCAGCGAATTCCCAAGCGAGAGGATTCGCACGGTGTCGCCGCACCCACTTCAGCACACCCTTCGGACGTTTCGTGGCCCAGAAGGGAGCTCCACCGAAGTGTCCAGCGGGAGGGCTCGCATGACGCCGCCGTACCCATTTCGTCACACCCCTCGCACGTTTCGTGGCCCAGAAGGGAGCTCTTTTGAAGTGTCCAGCGGGAGGGTTCGCATGGTGCCGCCGCACCCATGCCGGCACACCCCTCGCACGTTTCGTGGCCCACAAGGGGAGCTCCACCGAAGTGTCCAGCGTCTCCACCGAAGTGTTCAGTGGGAGGGGTTCGCACGGTGCCGCCGCACCCATTTCGGCACACCCTAGCTCGCTTCGTGGCCCAGAAGGGAGCTCCGCCGAAGTCCCCAGTGGGAGTGTTCGCATGGTGCCGCCGTGCCCCTTTCGGCACACCCCTCGAACGTTTCGTTGCCCATGAGGGAGCTCCACCGAAGTCCTCAGCGGGAGGGTGAGGGTTCGCATGGTGCCGCCGTGCATATTTCAGCACACCCCTCGCACATTTCGTGGCCCATGGGGGAGCTCCTCCGAAGTGCCCAGCGGGAGGATTCGCACGGTGCCGCGCACCCATTTCGACACACCCCTCGCACGTTTCGTGGCCCACAAGGGGAGCTCCACCGAAGCGCCCAGCGGGAGGGTTCGCATGGCGACGCCGCACCCATTTTGGCAGACCCCTCGCACGTTTCGTGGCTCATAAAATAAAGCTGGTTCCACCGAAGTCTCCAGCCGGAGGGTTCGCATGGTGCCGTTGCACCCATTTCGGCACACCCCTCGCACGTTTCGTGGCCCATAGGTGAGCTCCACCGAAGTGTCCAGCGGGAGGGTTTGCATGTGTTCGCCTGTTGGCACGCCCCTCGCACGTTTCGTGGCCCAAGGGGACTCCACCGAAGTGTCCAGCGGTAGGGTTCGCATAGTGCCGCCGTGCCCATTTCGGCACACCCTTCGCACGCTTCGTGTCCCATGGGGAACCCCACCGAAGTGTCCAGCGGGAGGGTTCGCATGGTGCCGCCGCACCCATGTCGGTACACCCCTCGCCTGTTTTGTGGCCCATGAGAGAGCTCCACCGAAGTCCTCAGCGGGAGGGTTCGCATGGTGCCGCCGTACCCATTTCGGCGCACCCTTCGCACGTTTCGTGGCCCATAGGGGAGCTCCACCGAAGTGCCCAGCGGGAGGGTTCGCATGGTGCCGCCGTGCCCATGGCGGCACACCCCTCGCACATTATGTGGCCCACCAGGGGAGCTCCACCGAAGTGTCCAGTGGGTGGGTTCGCATGGTGCCGCCGTGCCCATTTCGGCACACCGTTCGCACGTTTCGTGGCCCATAGGGGAGCTCCACCGAAGTGCCCAGCGGGAGTGTTCGCATGGTGCCGCCGTGCCCATGTCGGCACACCCTTGCACATTCCGTGGCCCATGAGGGAGCTCTACCGATGTGTCTTGCAGGAGGGTTCGCATGGTGCCGCCGTACTCATTTCGGCACACCCCTCGCACGTTTTGTGGCCCATGTGGGAGCCCCACCGAAGTGTCCAGCGGGAGGGTTCGCATGGTGCCGCCGTGTCCATATCGGCACACCCATCGCACGTTTCGTGGCCCATGAGGGAGCTCCACCGAAATCCTCAGCGGGAGGGTTCGCATGATGCCGCCGTGTCCATTTCGGCACACCCCTCGCACGTGTCGTGGCCCATAAGGGACCTCCACCGAAGTGTCCAGCCGGAGGGTTCGGATGGTGCCGCCGTGCCCATTTCGGCAGACCCCTCGCACGTTCCCCATCGAAGTATCCAGCGGGAGGATTCGCATGGCGCCGCCGTACCCATGTCGGCACACCCCTCGCACGTGTCGTGGCCCAAATGGGAGCTCCACCGAAGTGTCCAGCGTGAGGGGTCGCATGGTGCTGGCCGCACCTATTTCGGCACACCCTCGGCACGTTTCGTGGCCCATATGGGAGCTCCACCGAAGTGTCCAGCGGGAGGGTTCGCATGGTGACGCCGTGCCCATTTCGGCACACCCATCGCACGTTTCGTGGCCCACAAGGGGAGCTCCACCGAAGTGTCCAGTGGGTGGGTTCGCATGGTGCCGCCGTGCCCATTTCGGCACACCCCTCGCATTTTTCGTGGCCCAAATGGGAGCTCCACCGAAGTTTCCAGCGGGAGTGTTCGCATGGCGCCGCCGCACCCATTTCGGCAGACCCCTCGTTCGTTTCGTGCCCCCCTGCTTCGTCTCATTTTCCTCGCGATACTCGCACCTGCATATGATTGGGTCTCTCGCCCGGAAAATGTTGGCGAAGGTTTTCACCCTCTGCTGTCCGCCCAGTGGGGCCTTCTTCGGTATTGGGGCGCCATATTGGGACTTTTCCTTGCGATCTTCTGGCTACCTTGGCGCATCCCATGGCAATCTTGGGTCCATCCTGTGGGCACACGAGTGTACTAAGGATCCCCTGAGGCCCTGTCGGTCGTCTCTCGGGGCCTCTCGAGGGCAAGCTTTCACGCCTTTTTGGAGCATCTCGGGCTCCTCACTCCAAGGACCTTGAATGGGCGCTTGGAAGCCCTCAGTCGAGTCCTCGGGCAGTGCGCATGGCATAGCACTGCAGTGAGCATCGCATAGCGTTGCATTGCAACGTGCGGCATGGCATAGCATTGCGCAGCATAGCATTGCATACCACAGCTGCATGTCGTAGTTCCAGCTAGCATGGCACAATGTAGCATACGTGTAGCACCTCGCAGTTGCGGATATGAGTGACGGGCCGGCGAGGACGTCGGCAGTCTGCGAGGCTCTGAAGAAGCCCGCCGCAGGCGCCTAGCTGTTACAAATTATGCAGTGAGCCCGCCGCAGGCGCCGATTTTTTCGTTAAAGCAATGCGGGTGGGTCACGGGATGGGTCGCCGGTTGGTCGCGGGTGGGTCGTGGGCCCGGTCGCGGGTGGGTCGCGGGTGTGTCGGGTGGTCGCG